ATAATCAAACAAGTGTTTAAAGATATATGTACAAGGATGCTTATCTCGTTTTTTGTTGCTGTTGTTTGTTTTGAGTTGGAGTCTCACTTTGTTGCCCAGACTGGTAGTGCAGTGGCACGCTCCTGGCCACTGCAGCCTCTATCTGCTGGGCTCAGGCATTCCTTCCGCCTCAGCCTTCCAAGTAGCTGGAACTACAGGTGCGCGCTACCGCACTCAGCTAATTTTTTGATTTATTGTCGAGACGAGGTCTCACCATATTGCCCCACTGGTCTCAAACCTGCGGGCTCAGGCAATCCTCTCGCCTCAGCTTCCCAAAGTGCTGGGATTATAGACTTGAGCCACCACACCCGGCCCATCTCATTGTTTATAACAAACCCAATGCCTGGGAGAAATAATTAAGCAAAAATGTACTTTATTAGCATGAAAAATAATATCAATCTATACTTATTGACATGTAAACATATCTAGATTGGTGGAAAAACAGTAACAACAAAACATATATATATTATGATGCTGCACTGTTGAAACACAATAGGTAGATATTAAATAGAGTAATATATGTAAAGTAATTTTTTAAATATACATCCATAGATGAAAACCTGGAAAGGGATTACTAAAATGCTAAGTGTTTAGCTCTGAGTAGTGGAATTTTTAGTGATTTTTTTTTTTTTTTTTACTTAATCTATTCTTCTTCTTCTTCTTTTTTTTTTTTTTTTTTGAGTTCTAGTCTCACTCTGTCACCCAGACTGGAGTGCAGTGGCACACACACAGCCACCGCAGTCTTCACCTGCTGGGCTCAGGTGATCCTTCCGCCTCAGTCTTCCAAGTAGCTGGAACTACAGACACACACCACCACACCTGGCTAATTTTTTTATTTACTGTAAAGACAAGGTCTCAGCAAGTTGCCCAGGCTGGTCTCAAATCCCTGGGTGCAGGCAATCCTCTCGCCTGGGCCTCCCGAAGTGCTGAGATTACTGGCATAAGCCACCACACCTGTTTTAATTAAACTAGTACTCTTTAAGTTAGAAATAAATCAACAATGCTATTCATTTTTAAAAATAATTAAGGCACCCATTTTGGGGTTTTAATTTAATTAGAAAATGTATATTTTAATGAGAATTTTGACTTGACTCTAGTGGCTTCTCTGTGATTCCAGGATTAGTTTCATACATTGCTAAATTAAACTTGTCTATTTCACCTCCCAACAAATCCTAATTTGGCTGCTTTCTCTGTACTCACTCCTGGACTCTGTCATTTCTGACCTGCTATAACCTCCCTGCTTAGGATCCCTTCTTTCAGCTTCATCCATTTCTTTCTTTTTTTTCTTTTTATATTTTAGATTCATGGATATATATGCATATTCATTACATGGACATATTGTGTCTCAAATGGCCCATTCCCCAGATACTGAACATTGTGTCCCGTAGGTAATTTCTGAACCCTACCCCTCCAATCCTCTTATTGGTGTCCCCTTTGTCCATGATTTCCATCTTTGTGACGTTTAGCTCCCACCTGAGTGAGAACAGGCAGTGTGTTTGGTTTTCTGTTTCTGAGTTAGTTTACTTGGGATGATATCTCCAGCTCCATCATGTTGCTTCAAAAGACATAATTTCATTCTTTTTTTACGGCTGTGTAGTAGTCCATGATGTATATATACCATATTTTCATTATCCACTGACGAGTTGATGGACATTTAGGTTTATTCCACATCTTTGCAGTTGTGAATTCCTTTGCAATGAACATTATGGATGCAGGTGTCTTTGTTATATAATGACCTCAGTTCGGCTTAATCCATTTCTGATTTGTTCTCCAAGGTGCAAGAACATTTTGCAGGGCCCAAATCTAATCGTGTTACTACTCCTCGGCTTAAAATACTATAATACCTCCTCCAGAGACTCCACTGTTCTCTGATTAAGTCCAAACTTGATAGCCCTATGTTAGCTCCCAGCCTTGTTCTTCTACTCCATCAAGTGATAGCTGTATCGAATCATAAGTCCTTCAGGATTTAGCTTAGCCACCACATCCTACAAAGCCTTCTCTCATAGCACACTGTTCTTAACTTCAACCTACAGGATTTATTACATTATTGTAATGCCAACCAGAGTCTGCCTCCCCTATTGGACTCTAAATTTTTTGAGGGTAGAAAAAGGCAGCTGTGCCTTTTTCATCCTTGTATCCTTATAATTTAGCACATTGCCTCATACATAATAGAATCTTAAAAATACTGTGGAATAACGAATCAATCCATCACTTTTCCTGAAACTGTAATTAAAAAGCTAATAAGTTTTTTTTAGCTGAAATTAGGAAAGGAAGAAAAAATGAGATGTATAATCAACTTCTGAATGAAATTCCAGTTCCTAATGATCCAAAATGAGAGGCAATTAAAATAGCAAGGACTATGTTTGTTGAACACTGTGGTCTTATACTACATCTGTAGCCTTAGAGAACTTTTTGATCACAGTTGCTTCCTTTCTGACTCTTTCTTTGATTCCTCGTCCTGTATTTTACCATATTGGGATTAGGAATATTATATAAGCAGCATCAGTAGAAAAAGTCTAGAAATAACAACCTAAAACCTGAAACCTGGCTTATTTTCCTCAACTATGAAAATAATATTTTAAGATGAAAACTTGGCAAGGAAAAAATGAAGAAGTTTAAAATCACCTAAAAGCTCACTTCTATGAGATATAATAGTTTCATTTGTATGTTTTTCCTTTGTTTCTATATATACATTTTTTTCCCTACTTACTATTTCATTGTAAGCCTTTTCCCAGGACTATGGACCCTACCTCCTTCCTAGCCACACTGGCATCCTTGCAGTTCTTCCAAAATTATCCCCCCTTCTCCGTAGTGCTCTTTCATGCTATCTCTTCTACCCAAAACACACTTTCATGGACTGCTGCAGGAAAACAAAGGATCTTGGCCTCAATAATGACTGAGTCTCTTCCGAATCCTCCCTGACTTTTAGCTTAGAAGTCTGGCAGCTTAAAATTGTACTTGCCTAGTATACAATTAAAGCTGTTTATGTTGTTATGAGAGTAAGAAGCTTATTAACCACTCTTTGCTGTTTGCTTAGTGAATCTCAAATTATTCATGTCCTGGAACAGCAAACTAATAAATATTTATTCGGTTTATTTTTCTTCACATGTCTATTCCTTGTCTCCTCCTTAGCTTGGAAACCCTTCTCCTTTTTTCACCTGAAGATTTAAGTATTTATGTTGCTTGTAATCTCACCTCTTTCTTTATAACCTCTGTACTCTGCTTACTTTAGACTTGGGCCCCTGTCTTGCTCTCTCCAGGATTCTCAGGCAGTGGTTCTCAAAGTTTGGGCTCCAGACTATGAGCATAAGCACTACCTGGGAGCTTGGTAGAAATGCACATTCACAGCCTCACCTCAAGCCCGCAGAGCCAGAAATTCTGGTGGTGCCCAGTGATCTGTGTATTAATAACTAATAGATTCTCTGGCCGGGCTCGGTGGCTCAGCCTATAATCTCAGCACTTTGGGAGTCCAAGGCGAGTGGATTGCCTGAGCCCGCGGGTTCAAGACCAGCCTGGGCAACTTGGCGAGACCTCATCTCTACAATTAAAAAAGAAAAAAAAAAATCAAAAGTTAGCCAGGCGCGGTAGCACACACCTGTTGCTCCAGCTACTTGGAGGGCTGAGGCAGAAGGATCATTTGAGCCCAGCAGGTTGAGGCTGTGGTAGCTGTGAGCATGCCACTGCACTCCATCCTTGGCTACAGAGTGAGACTCCAACTCCAAAAATTAAATAAATAAATAATAGATTGTCCAGGTTACTCTAATATGTAGCAAAATATAAGAACCTCTCCTTAGGGTTGGGAGAGTTCTTGTCCCTGAGTCCCAGCCTCAAGGTACTCTCACACTTCCTGATAATAATCAGCCTGACTGCCTGGATATTTGTGTAGTGGCCCATAGAATGTCTTTATAGCTACACATAACAAACAGCCTTCTAGCATACCCACATGATCTCTCTCACTGCCTCTGATGCTGGCAATTTTCTCAGGCTGTTTTATTTGACTAACATCTGTCATCATAGCCTGTGGTACTTCTAATTACTATAGCCTGTCTGCTGGGTTTTAGCTCAGTAGTTGCAACAGGGTTGGTCTAAATACCCAACTCTACCCAGTGAACTTATCTTGCCCAAAGTTCTAACCCTCTTTGGGTCTTCCTTGACTTCATAAGTTAACCCTACCATTCCCAATCTTGACAAGTGATATGACACTTGAGGGAAAGGGCCTTACTTTCTAATTCAAGCAGAAAGGTGCAGATAACAAACTAAAACACACATATGCTTGGATGTTTTACAATCCATGAAAAGGAGAAAGGGTGGGAAGACTTTTTTTTTTTTTTTTTTTGACTTGGAGTCTCACTCTGTTCACCCAGACTGGAGTGCCGTGGCCGCTCCTGGCCACCGCAGCCTCGACCTGCTGGGCTCCGGCGATCCTTCCGCCTCAGCCTTCCAAGTAGCTGGAACTACAGGCGCATGCTTATCACACCCGGCTAATTTTTGGATTTATTGTAGAGATGAGGTCTTACCAAATTGCCCAGGCAGGTCTCGAAACCGCAGGCTCAGGCAATCCACTCACCTCAGCCTCCCAAAGCGCAGGATTACAGGCTGAGCCACCGAGCCCGGCTGACTTTTTTCTTGTGATATAGCTGTTCTCTGATTTTTGAAAAAGGTGAATGTGTTACCTATTCAGAAATAGTTTTCTGATTATTCTGAAAAAGGTATAGTAAAAATAAGAATGGTCAGGGATGATTTCCTGGAGGAAGTGAGTTATGAAATTCATCTAGAGTAGTGCAAGGGGCAGAGATTAAAGTGATTAATGATGAAGTCAGGGAACACATGCCAGATGAGCAAGGGAGAGGCGTCATCCCAGGTGAATGCGAATCACATGGAAAACTGGACCGACAGGGTAAAAAACCATTGCTGACTGGTGTCCTTTTACCAAAACATGCTGTCTTTGACAACTTGTGTAGGTTATGGAATGCCACTGAAAGATGGAGATGAGAAAACAGATGAAGAAGCAGAGAGACCATATTCAGATGATGAGATGTTAACACACAAAGGGCTTCGAAGATCACAAAGCATGAAATCCGTGAAAACCATCAGAGGCCGCAAGGAGGTTAGTCAAGTGTAGAGTTGTTTTCCTAATGATGGATATTAAGGGATTTCCCTGCTGCATTATCATTTAGGGTATTAATGGTTCATAAATGGATCAGAATGATAACACAGCAGTTAAACTTAAAATTATTTGTTCAGAACAGATGTATCAGGATCTCAGGAAATTTTGAAAATGGTAAATTCCTCATCTTCCATTATAAGGAGAAAATGGTGTTCCCACATAGCAAATTACATGGATATCATAAACAAGGAAAGCAGCTAACAAAATTAACTACTTAGTTTCGCTTTTAACCAATCCTACCTGAAGATTAAGTAGTAAACATTTTAATCACAATGTTATATTGTCTTTGTACCCATAAAGCAGTAGAGAACTGTGAACGGCTTTGGATCTTTTTCATCAATGACAAATGTTCATTGAATTTATACTAAGCAAAACATAAATAATAACATCAGTGTTTGTACTTGTTATTATAATAATAATCTGCAACATATATCTAACATAGTACCAACTACATTTTTATAAGTAGTACTGTCTTATACCCACTTATCTGGAAAATTGAGTCTTTATATCAGAAAGATTAAAAATTATTATACTTATACTTAAGTCTGTCTAATTTTTAAAAGTAATCATCCAGTTCTTAATAACAACATGTTTTTCTCTTCAGGTGCGGTATGGGTCACTAAAATATAAAGTGAAGAAGAGACCACAGGTGTATTTTTAGTCATCTACACTTCAAATATCGCAAGACAGAAATTATTATTACATTGACTTCATCTTCTAACATGATATATTCAGGATTTACACATTCAAATAATTATTTAAATTATGGCAGTGCTAGGATTTACTTTCATGAAGCTAAATCATTTTTATTTCTTTAACAGTTACTTCCAAATATTGACTGCTAAAAGTAGTTATACAAGGTGTGTTAATATATATATTAGAAATTATAGAAAATCGTGTTACCTGTTTTCAAATTTATCAACAACACTGAGTGCCTGAGATACAAGATGAAACACAAACCCACAGTATACTTGAAAAGAGTCTTTTTATGGTTCAGGATAAATCAGCCTTTGTGGTGTTATATTGAATTTACCTCCATTTATGTTACATCTATTACATGAGGATAGTAACTAAATAGGCCTCTGATCTGGCTGTGACATAACAAGGACATAATGTAAGATAATAATATATGTTTTATATATTCTTTAAATTTTTACTTTTACAATACTTCCGAGTTTTTCCACCATCAACTGAAAGTTTTTGGAATAAATATTTGAAAATCCAGGTATCCACAAGGCACTTTTATTCCTGACTAGTTTTGCACAGTTGAAAATTGTTTACTGCCGGGTGTGGTGGCTCACGCCTATAATCCCAGCACTTTGGGAGGCCGAGGCGAGAGGATTGCCTGAGCCCAGGGATTCGAGGCCAGCCTGGGCAACTTGGCAAGACTTCATCCCTACAAAAAAAAATTTTTTTTTAATTAGCTGGACATGATAGCACACGCCTGTAGTTCCAGCTACTTGGAAGGCTGAGGCAGAAGGATTGCCTGAGACCAGTAGGTGTGAGTATGCCACTGCACTCCAGCCTGGGCGACAGAGTGAGACTCCTACTCAGAAAAAAAAAGGAAAATTGTTTACTTATTTTATAACTGTACATTTACTTTAAGTTTTACCAACTCTATCATTATTGTTGTTGGTCATATTCTGACATGTCAAATTTATCATCTCTTTTCTTGTGGGTTTCATTTGTTAAATTCATTGAAGTTTAGTAGTATGGAATATATACAGTTGTTTAGTTTTTAAACTATTTTAAATTTCTTAACAAATAAGAAGTTATTTTAAACATTAACCAGTTTTTCATATTTAGCTATGCAGAGTAATTGAACGTAGCATGTTTTTGCCAACACCAATTACGTTTTCAGCTTTTTATAAATGGTATCTTTTATGCAATAGAGTCAGTGACCAGTATAGCACTTAGATCCCTTCTAATTCATAAAAAGTATTCAACAGCCAAACCATTCACAAGCTTGGCATTAATATGTGCTGCTGGTTTATAAATCTGGCATTGACTAAAATCATTTGAATCTCCTGGCAGAGATAATTTCCTGAAGATGGATGCCAGTGCAAAATACAGATGTCATTAATCCTATGTATTAGAAGTTATTAGAAATATCATTTTTTTAAAGCAAAGAAATTTTGAGTTATTGAACTCTGAGGTGTTTTTAGCTTGTATTGGTTAACTATGCATTATGAACCCTAAGTCAGTATATTTTGGTGATGGTTTTAGTGATCAATAATAAAATTTGTGCTTACACTTATTCAGATAATTTACTTGAGCTATTGTACTTGTTTGCCCAAAAGAAAAAATGATGAAGCCGGGCTCGGTGGCTCAGCCTGTAATCCCAGCACTTTGGGAGGCTGAGGTGAGTGAATTGCCTGAGCCCGTGGGTTCGAGAACTGCCTGGGCAACTTGGCAAGACCTCATCTCTACAATAAAATCAAAAATCAGCCGGGCGTGGTAGCGCATGCCTGTAGTTCCAGCTACTTGGAAGGCTGAGTGGAAGGATCACTGGAGCCCAGCAGGTCAAGGCTGTGGTGGCCGAGAGTGGCCACTGCACTCCAGTCTGGGTGACAGAGTGAGACTCCAACTCAAAAAAAAGAAAAAATGATGAGAGAGATTTGTGAGATCTTTGACCTTTCTACCTTTTAAGAAATGAAGCCATTCATTCAGGACCTCCTCAGAGTATTAGCCTAGAACAGAATGTTTACTCAGGAGTACCTTAGTATAATTCATACATTGTCTCTTAATACTAGTCATAAAATGTTTTCTAGATTGTTTATATAACACCAAGTAAAAAGTCTGTTTTTTTCTTCAGAAGTTTAACTCTGAGTAACTCTATCTGCTTATCTTGACTAATTTTTAGCCTCTTTCTGAAAGTATGCCTTAATTTCTGTTCCAAATTTCTGTGAATTCTAACCATAAACTCTTGGAAGAGAGTTTTATTTATGTTGCCTGGTACTAGATTTCTCAATGTAAGTGCTACACCATGCTTGTCTTTCCTACCCAAAGGCAAAGACAATGTTATCTCCAATTGCCGAATAAGGTCAGATGAGTGACTTTGTATCAAGAACATATCTGCGAGAGCTGACGGGCACCATTTTATCTTTTTGAAGTCTGATCTCAGTATTAAACCCATTCTTCAGTAAACTCATATTACTGTTCTAAATTAGAGGAATTATTTATTCATCTATACTTCTATAATCAAAGTGCTTCATCAAAGACAATGCCAATCTCAGAGGTAGTGTAAGTTCTTCTATTTAATTGTATTCCTTCACTTTCACAGTGATTCCACTGATGCATTTCTTCTGTTACATCCTTACATCAACACAGTTGATATCATTTTGCTTTTCTTTTCTTTTTTTTTCCCCCACCTGGGTTTGGACTGAGAGCCGTCTCAAAAACAGCTTCTGAATTTCAATGCAAACATGAAGGTGGCAAGTTAGAGTCATCACCTTGCTCGTTTTGCTTTTCTATCATTTCTTTTCTCTCCTTTTACATTTCTTAAGTGTTAGTTCTTTTCTCCCTTAGATGTTCTTTAGCATGCCCTTTTCTTTGAACTTTGATAAGCTTATATATTATTGTTTCTTTTAAGGTGGAGCAGGCCTTCTGTTGTTTCTACTTTTGATTCTACCAGTATTTTAGGGCACTATTTTGGTAGCTAGCTGTTCAAGTGCATCCAGAAATTATAGCTGGTGTTTTATTGTCCTATACGTTCATTCAACTTCTTCATTAATACTGAACTATTTTCAGAGTTTGTTTAGGAGTCAGAATTGACCTATTCTTTAGTTTACCATACTTTTTCTAGTATAAGAAAGAACCAGAAATAAGCCTTGTTGCTAAGTAATTGTGTTAACCCATTGAGGTCCTGCATAAGATCCCCTCTACACACTTCAGTGTGTGTGTGTGTGTGTGTGTGTGTGTGTGTGTGTGTGTGTGTGTGTGTGTGTTAGGCTAAAAAATTATACTGCCAGCATTACTAATTATAAATACTTGACTAACACCAATTGATGGAACAAAATTATTAAAGTGTTTTCAGGGATCTTACTCCATATGTCACCACCAAAGATTTCCACAGTGTTATAAAGTATGTAAATAATTCCAAATTTCTGTAAAACATTGATTAGATAAATGTGTTTTCTTTTTTCTTTAATAACACAGTCTGCTTTCTGAAAATGCTTGAACTTTTATGTTTTTTAAAAAATATGTAGTACTTTCTTATATAAAGTATGAGTAATTTGTATTTTTAATTGGAATGGACTTAAGTTTTCATTTGATTATCTTTTCTAAGAAAAATTTAGGAGTTAATATATATTTAAAAGCAATTTTCTGTTTTCTCCTGTGTAGGTTGATTCATTTGTGAAACAATTAGGTAAATTTTGAAAAGATCATTGTTATTGTAGTATGCAGTGTATATTTCCTAGTAAACATCACTTAAGATTAAAGTTGTCTAAAAGGAAAGTATAGTTTTCCCTATTTTAAAAATTTAATCTTTTAGAAGTATTCTGCAGATTTAATGTATATTAACTCTTTTTTAACATTGACCATTACTTAACATTTTGTCTTCTAAGACCTTTTAAATCTGTGTACTTTAATAATTAAGAGAAAATAATTTTGCAAAAATTTTAATCCCTTTGTAGAGGCTATCTCTAAGCCCAGTATGTGGGTAATTTTACAAGTGTTTTTTTTTAACTTTAATATAAAATAAACTCATTTTATTTGTGGCAATTTGCATTTCTTTTTTATGGCAGAGTATGTATATTGCATTCCATGAATTGGTATTTGTTATTGAGTATGCTTTGATTAAATAATGGACAATACATGCTACACTTAAGATTACAAATCACGGCCAGGCACAGTGGCTCATGTCTGTAATCACAGCACTCTGGGAGGAGTTCAAGACCAGCCTGGGCAACATGGCAAGACCTCATCTCTACAATAAATTTGAAAATTAGCTGAGCATGGTGGCATGCACCTGTGGTTCCAGCTACTTGGAAGACTGAGGCAGAAGGATTGCCTCAGCCCAGAAGGTTGAGACTGAGGTAGCAGTGAGCGGTGCCACTGCACTCCAGCCTGGTCAACAGGGGGAGACTCCAATTAAAAAAGGAAAAAAAAAGATTACAAATGTTACAAATGACAAAGCATATTACAAAAATCATATATATTCTGGAATGGTCATCCATAGGATTATGAAAGAAATACTAAGTTGTTAAATTTGGGTGTTAGAAAGGGAAGATAGGAAAAACGAGTACAGAAATCTACCATTGGATTGGTTAGCTGTCTCAGACATAAAATATAACACAAAATTCAGATTTATGTATCCTGGAAATGTTCTGGGGTTCCATCTGTTTTAAAGTCAGACGTCTGCTCACATTTAAGCTTTAAAGAGAAATCCTATGTTGAAAAGTTTCTTTGTGGTACTTCATCAAGACATATAATGTATATATAAGTTTCTAGAGAGCATCTAAAATGGAATTATATTTGCATTTTTATTATGAGATGTAGTGAGCCAAAGAGGTTACTTGTTTTTTGAATTTAGATAAAAATTCAAAAAACACAATGAATATATGAACTGCAGCTTTTTTTTTTCCCCTAGTATTTTAGTCTCCCAGAAAGTGATTCACTGTTCTTAAAAAAGAGATTGGTGAAACAAAAATCATGTCAGAGGCTGATGCATTGTTCCCTGGAAAACACTCTACCCCTTTACCTACCCATCAGTAGTCTAGCCTTGAAACACTCTCCTTATGGCTTGGTTTTTAGTAATGTTTTTTGTTGTTGTTGTTTGGTTTTTTTGAGTTGGAATCTCATTCTGTCACCCAGACTGGAGTGCAGTGGCGCTCACGGCCACCGCAGCCTCAACCTGCTGGGCTCCGGCGATACTTCCGCCTCAGCCTTCCAAGTAGCTGAAACTATAGGCGTGCGCTACCATGCCCGGCTAATTTTGTGATTTATTGTAGAGATGAGGGCTCACCCAAATTGCCCAGGTGGGTCTCGAACCCGCGGGCTCAGGCAGTCCACTCACCTCAGCCTCCCAAAGGCACGGGATTACAAACTGAGCCACCGAGCCCAGCTTAGTAATGTTTTTTAAATTGCTTTTTATAAAATAATGTTCTGAAATTTTAAAGCACAGGATTGATAATTGTCTATAAGTGTAGGTTACTGAAGGATTATGCTCAACAAAAGCGGAAAAATCACCATGCTTACTCTGTTTACCTGACAGTCCCAGATTAAGAAAAAGGGGAGGCCAGGATCGGTGGCTCAGCCTGTAATCCCATGCTTTGGGAGGCCAAGGTGAGTGGATTGCCTGAGCCCGCGGGTTCGAGACCCGTCTGGGCAGTGAGACCTC